CTCGATAAATTGTCTATTCAATTTTATCATTTTCGATAAATTAAATTTAAATCTCACAAAAGCAAATAGATTATTTCTCTTTTAAAAAAAAAAAATTGACTTACTACTTTATGATGTCTTCCATTAAAGATCTTGACCTTTTCAAAATCTTAGACATTCTTGTCGAGTCGGATTGGCGAGTCTAATTGAAAACTAATTAATGTCATTTCAAACCAGTGGTGCTAGTTGTATATCTTAAGATTTATTTCGTAACACGAGATTGCCTCAATAACGATCTTTTTATTTGTAAAATGGCCTCATGTCGGCAACAAAGCATTCTTCTATCCAAGAATTCTTATAAACTAGATGGAGCCCGCCAAACATTGGCTACAGTGCAATGAACTTCCCATCTACTACAGTTACTTGAAAAAACGTGAACTCAAGTTACGCACATTTAAGAATGCCAATTTTGCTAACCCCCTACCCCCTCCCATCTTTTTTTCCACGATACGTCACTGCACACTTTTTATTTCACGCCCATGAACTCTATAAATATAGCCGACCCGCGACTTAGCAGACGCCGCGAGTATCTATATATAGCCTGCGTGGTGGTCGTCCTGTTATTTGCCCTAGTTTCTGGCGAATTATATTTATAGATTGACGTTCTTCTGAGTGTGGGGCCCTGGTAAAATGACCACTCTCTGTGAAAATACCTGCCTTCAGAATACCCTTTGGCGTAACTAAAGTTAGTGCCGCCTAGGGAGGGCCTAGATTTCACGAGGGAAAAAAAAACAAAACAACCCCTGTAGCAGGCCGAAAATGCCGTCCATCCATATGATGAAAAAAGTCCCCGCCCGGAGCTCTTCCTGTGCATCTGAGTGTCACCCAAGCTTGCGTTCTCCTCAACCACAACGTGTCTTGTGTCACCCAAGCTTGCGTTCTCCTTAACCAAAACGTGTCTTGTGTCACCCAAGCTTGCGTTCTCCTCAACCACAACGTGTCTTGTGTCACCCAAGCTTGCGTTCTCCTCGACCAAAACGTGTCTTGTGTCACCCAAGCTTGCGTTCTCCTAAACCAAAACGTGTCTTGTGTCACCCAAGCTTGCGTTCTCCTCAACCAAAACGTGTCTTGTGTCACCCAAGCTTGCGTTCTCCTCAACCAAAACGTGTCTTGTGTCACCCAAGCTTGCGTTCTCCTAAACCAAAACGCGTCTTGTGTCACCCAAGCTTGCGTTCTCCCTAACCAAAACGTGTCTTGTGTCACCCAAGCTTGCGTTCTCCCTAACCAAAACGTGTCTTTCTTTTTAAATCCTTTATATCAACTTCGCTTTTGCTCGTGGGTTGCAGGATGGGTGGCAAATCGGACGGCTAATTGAACCTCTTCCCGTCAAGCTATCGAGCTGAAACTTGACACATAGACACGATGTCGATGAAAACACATTCTGTCATAGTCACAGCCCCATCCCCCAACAATCAGTTTGTACTGTTTTTCAAAGGAAGATAAAATAAAATTCCCGATAACTGCGCCAAATGAGATTCTTTTCAAACGAATTTGGCAAGTGCGTGATATTTTCTTTTGTTTTTTGTCTAACATTGTTGGTGAAGTCAATCTGCGATGTACACGTGGGTGGGCGGTTTATTAGAATATTAATAGAGTTCGGGGGCGTGGAAAAAATGGGCGGTTGCGAGCCTTGAAAAGGGAAAAGGGGCGGGGGGGGGGGGGACGCACTAATTTGTATTCTTCTCAAGTGCTACGTGAATGTATGTTTTGTTAAATTTTTCACCCCCATCCCCCAAAATTGCTCGCTATTACATTTTATAAAGGATTTATATGAAAACCTTTGTTTGTAAGGGCTCTTTATTCTCGCCTGTGGCCATGGACTGAAATAAAATGATGTCATTTAAAAGAAAGTAAACAATTTTTTAAAAATGTTTGTGTTTCATTTATTGTCACCTCCCCACGCCCCCCCCCCCCCCAACCGCTTTTTTTGGTACCGTTCTCTTTATTACAACGGCAATTCTGTGGTACCTGGTATTCATTTTTCCCCCCTTCAATAAATTAAACAACAAAAGTCTTGTCCATTGTTTACCACAGTGCCCTTCATGACTGCTCAATAAACTGCACCACAGGTGTTCGAACTGTTGTTTGGTGTAGGCCTATTTAGGCTGTGTGGAGCATGCATGGTCGCACGAGCTTTGTACACAATTATTGATGTCTTATGACGCACTAAAACGTAGGTCACGATCATCGCCACATGCCATGTGACGTCATGTTTAAAAAATGTGCGTGAATTAGGTCGTAATTTCATAATAACCCATCTACAGTTAAAATACAGTAAAAATAGATAAAGCCTATAAACTCAGGGCCGGAGAAAGCAAGAGTTGCACCCGAGACACAACTTGAATTAGTCGTCCACTTCAACCCCCCCCCCTTTCACACCCCCGCCAACCCAATTAAAAAAAAATTAATGTGCAGAAGTTGAAAAATGTCTATTTTGACACCCAGATAGGTACTGGTGGTAGTGTGTGTACCCTTCGCACGGCCTAGTATAATATAATCTTCAAAGCTTAGAGGTGAATTTTAAAAAAATTAATGATCTCGCTGTTTCAAAAAGACGCAGGATTTCAAATAAGACGAATGAAATTAGTTTTGTAAATCCAGTTCTCAAGTATTTTTGAAGTCATTAAAGCCATGCGTGATGACAATGTGATTTGTTGTGTTGTCTGCGATTTCCAGCCGATGGCCAATAAACGTCTAAATGTCAAATAAAATTCATTTTTGGTTAATTTTTTTCTTGTCATGGAGTTTTAACCATTTAAAAACAAGAAAAGCGAAGACCCACAGTTGAAGGTGAGCTATGTTCAAGATTAAATAACTTGAGTCTGGTTAAGACATTTCTTCTGTTTTTTTTTAAAAAAAATAATTAATTACACACACATTTTTTAAATTGTTTACTTTCTTTTAAATGACATTAATAATAAGCTAACATGGCATGAGCACGGCCAAATGCTGTATAAGAAATTCAACCAAAGACTGTTCTGCCTCAAAAAACTGTACAATTTCGGCGTAACCAAGCAAGTCGTTAACTTATTCTACAGTGCAACTATTTTGGAAGCCTGCTTCATTCCAATATGACCTGCTGGTGTGGGAATTCAACGTCTGATATTAAACACCGCATAAACCGACTAATCAAGAAAGCTAGGAACATAACACAAACTAAACATCCTTCACTTGAAGAACTATTTGAAGAATGATGTTTTTGAAAAACTAAACACATTTTGGATGATACATCCCACCCTCTTCATCACAGATACTTAGATTCTTTCCATCAAGGCGAGGACTGACAGATACAAAAATTCTTTTGTTCCCCAATCTGTACGAATATCTGTACGAATTTACCGGCATGCTTCCTCTGAAGTCACACATCTGAATGAGAACTAATAAGTCCCCGATTTTGCTATGAGAACTCACTGAATGGCTGTTTGAAATAATTTAATATAAATGTCTTGTGTTCAAATCGTTTTATTTTTGAGCTGAAAATGTATAATGCAATCAAAAAACATTTCCATTTATTTGGATCAATAAAAGAATCTTATCTTTTTAAGACTTCAGTGTTGTCACTCTGAGCTACACAAATCTGTGATCCTATAGAAGATTGTTGGGAACTAGAAATCTATGCAATATTTAAATAAATATAAAATCTATAATATTATTGTAAAATGAATAAATTTCCAGTGATGATTTCTAAATTATGTATTTGACAATGCTCTAAATATTTAACTATTCAGTATTTAAAGAAATTACTCACTTTTCTAGACAAATAATGGCAATGTCTGTTATTACTCACTTCTATAGACAAATTCATTAGGGCAATGTCTGTAATTATAGACTTCTATAGACAAATCATGGCAATGACTGTTATTACTCACTCCTATAGACAAATTATGGCAATATCTGTTATTACTCTCTTCTATAGAAAAAATTTGGCAATGTCTGCCCTCTAAATTTCAAAACTTCAAACCATGCAAAAGTCCATAAAGAACTTGTGAAAAATTAATATTTGCAGCTACCGTACTTGATAACTGAAACTTGATACCGGTAATTTAAGTATCATACAATTCTAAATATTTAAATCTGTAACAAGACCCAACAAAGTGTTTGTTTTTATTTTATTTTGTTTGTTTTTATTTTCTTTATTTCCCCATGCACTTAATAAATTGTATACCGTAAAACTCAAACATTTTATTTCAAATATCAACACATGTATTTATTCTCTCGTCCCTTCATATACATAGGCTATTTCCTTTCCAGAATAAAATGGTCAGACTTTATTTTCAACATTTTTAATGCAATTATTAACATTAAAATGTTGACTTGACAGCATAGATGTAACATTAAATTATTATTATTAAAGAATTCCTTGAGGAAAAAAAAACAATATATAAAGAATTTTTTTTAAAGTAAAAGCCAAACATTTTTTCCTTGGTTATGTTTATTTTAAAAAAATATTTTTTTTCTTCATAATCTTAAAATAAAAAAAGTAAAGCTTGATCACATCGTTTAAAATTTTTTTATGATCAGAATCGATCAAACAAAAATTTGCTCTCACAACACTAATATTCCTTCTGTGACTGAACTTAAGAATCAACAGGTATCAGTTTAATTACTAACAAAACAGCTGGTTTCCATAGCAAACTATAAATAACATTGAAATCACAGATTAAGGGGCATGTTGTAGTTAAATGAAATACTGGTAGTATAAATATTGTGAATTCTTCAATAAATGTAATCTGCATAAACAACAAATATATTGAAATGTGGCTGAAGTGAGAATGTCAACTCAAATTCACATGATTGTTTAACATAAATTCCATCCACATGATTGATTAAAGTCAACTCTATTCCAATGATGGATTAACTATCCCAATTAAGAACATTAATTCATATGTAAAATAAACTCCAGTCAACTCTCAATAAAGTTAGAGGTGTTTATCTTAGTTTAAATATGTCTATCAATGGGAATGAAAATAGATAGTTTAAAAAAAAAAAATTATACTAAGTCAGTTAATTTTATAGGTCAAACAGCACATATCAGATAAAACAGATACACAAATAACACCATTAAGTACTGGTACAGTACTGGAATAGTAAATCTTTTTAGCAGGCAATCTAATACAAATGGATACTCAGTCATTAGCCAGGTGACAAAAATCAGCCAATATAAAAAATTGTATGGTCAAATGGCTAAAGTCATAGTTAAATTTAGTTTTAACAATAATTCAAACCATATTTAATTTAATTCAAATTATCAAAATACTAAGGTTTTTTTTTTACAAGCTGAATAAGCTACACATATTGTTTTTGAAAAATCTGCTAAAAAAACTCATAAATATCTGCCTTTACATATTTGTTAAAATGTGCATAATTTCTTAATGACTTTTAGAACCTAAAGACTTTTTTTGGACATTTAAAATATTTTAAATCCTGTTTTAAACAATGTGGGGAAAAGGACAAACAGTTTAGGGGAAAAGGACAAAACCCTTTTAAAAAATATTTATTTCCAGGCCTTACATATGAGCCTGAAAACTGAGAGAGTTTAATTTTAAAGAACCAAAGAGAAATATTTTGCAACCAATATACAGTATGAATACAATAATTTTTCAATCTCTCAATGATTCAGATGATCTTATAATCTTAGACATAAGGTTTCAGTACTCCTAATGAAAAAAGCTATTTTTTAAATATAAAAATTTAACATTCTTAGTTTGACATCAAGATGCGCTTAAAAGGTTCTGCTCAATTTTGAGTCGTGTGTCGAATTCGTTGGAGAGTGAGCATTCTGGCTCAACAGAGATTGGATAAGTGGACTGCATATTACGTTTTATTTGTGTTGCCAGTATGTGCGACAGCTTAACTGACAGGACCGGTGCTTTTACGCGCTCAGGATCCCTAACAGAGAATGACAAAAAGACAAATGGTTGTGACTGTCCTCCACTCTTCAGGAAATTACAATTGAAATCAAATATTTTAACCTCAGTTTCTCTTTCCAGTTTCTGGCTTTTCCTCTCTTTAGGAATGTAATGAAATGGTACAGCTTTGCACAATCGTTTGGCATGGATATCGCCATTACGGTAGAAGATGGTGACACCTCTTTCCATATTGTTTAGAACACCCTGGGTGACAGCAACTTCTTGCTCATTCAGATTAGGGCACAAATGGGCACTGGGTAGCTCAATAAGTCTGGCCCCAGTAGGTCCAAACTGCTCTTCAGAGGGGCAACTGGTGATGACCTCTCGGAGCCTATTGTTGGGCACATAGCAAAATCGGAAGGTATCTTCAGTGATGGATTCATACAGAGCAGTCTCATTGTGATACTTTACCTCCAGTACCATGAGAGGTGCGTTAACCTCTTCTGGACGGGAATTCATAAAGTAATGATCTAGATCTACTAGATCTATATTCATATCACATGAGCTAGGCATATGATAGTTTGCATCATTAGAATTACAAAGTCCTGCACCATTAGGAATAGCATTTCTTGCACCATTAGTAATAGAAAGTCCTGCATCATTAGTAATAGCATGTCCTGTGCCATCGTTCAAATCATAACCTGAAACATTATTCATAACATGCCCAGAAGCATTTTTTGTATGGACCACACCATCCAAACACTTGATACCTTTATGATGATTTTCTTTATTGAAGCAAATCATGTTGGGAATGTTCTGATTGATCAAAGGCTCAGATATGTTCATTTGATGAGCAGGCAGTCGACCTAAATTGTTCGCTACAAGACCTTTGGAATTTTGAAGATTAGTAAACAGATAAGTGTTTGCTCTGAAGATCTTACTGCAGTGGTTGGGGCTATTTTCTACAATATTTCTATTTTCAGCCACTAGTGGGCTTGGTATTGGTATGTAGCTGCTTCTAAAAGGAGCACTAACTGCATTTAAGTTACTCGCACCAACCAAGTCCAGAGGAATGTTTGGGGTCACATCAATGTCACCAATCAAGTCGTGAGGAATATTGGGAGTCATACTGTCCAAATTGCCAGAGAAACCATCAGTATTTATGTCACTAAACTCATGGACAGGACTTCGGCTCCTGAATGGCATTTTAAAGAAAGAAGTGAAGTCAGTAGACTGGTCAAAAACATCTGAGCCAGAATTTGAGCAGCTCATGTCTTGAGGATTAAGGAGCTGATTTTGGTTATTTGATCTTCTTGCAATCACTGTTTCCCCTCGGGTACGCCCTCTTGTTTTGCGTCCACCCATTGGGTCATTATTAAACTGATACACCTTAATGGGATTGTTCCCCTCTTGATTACGGTGTTCTTCAAGCTCCTTAACCCCTAGACTTCTTAAAGCATTGCGAAACTTTTCCTTCCAATTTTTCAGATCCTCTTGTGCAGGCTCGGTGCCTGTAAAGCCATACATATGTTTTCCTATTTCGCAAAGAACAAATGAGTCAGGGTCACCCCACCTGGTCGGTCTGTGATGCTTCCACGGGAGCTGCCAGATTTTCTTCTCTTTGTCTATCCATTCAAGGCCTTTGATCTTTTTGTTATTTAGCGCATCCTCCAAAAATTGCAAGAGGCCAGATCTAGATTCCTTATTTTGCTGTTGGCTTACCTGTAATGAAAAATAAAAATTTATGTCAGAGTATAGTGTGTCATACAGATCATCATTTTATTTGAATTTTTGGGAACAAAAGATTTGATTGGAAACATGGCTTGAAAATGTGGGACTGGAAAGAAACTTAAACAAGAGAGGCAGCTAAAAAAATAAAAGAACAAAAAAAGAACAAGTAAAGCTTTAAGGTAAAGTTACAAAAATGATACCGGTTCTTTAAATCATCAGTTCTTAAAATTAAAAGATAACATAATAATGTATAGTGTCAAAACTTAAAATTAAGAGCCACTTTGGGAAACCACACTGTGTCCTCTACAGTCAGTTGAAATTGTAGCTGTTTGTGATTTATTTAAAACTGCCAAATAAATATTATTAGTTGACCTGTCATTAAACCTTATCTGTAAATCTTATCAGTGACAGTAGATATGACCTAGCTAATATTTAATTACTAATGGGAATTTTTTTTTGTTTAACTTTAAAAATTGACACTAGGGGTTAGGAGCAGGCTTTTTTTGGTAGAGATTTGCTCAAGCTACTGCAAAATTTAATATTTTTTTTTATATCAAATAAGGTTTGCACCAAATTAATATGCAGGTAACGGTATATTTAGTTTATTTACCGATCTATTGGTCAGCTGTCCTTTATTACCAAATTAGCTCAATGGTTCTCCTTTTTACCACATGCTTAAATTATTAACAACATTTATATTATAGCGCAGTTAAATGGTTGCAATGACTAAAATAGAATACATTCAACGTTTAGTTTTTCAACTGGGAAAGTTGAGGAAGGGAGGTTGAGGGGGTGCTAAATGTTTTAAGAAACGTTTTTATAATTGTCACTCACCCATCTTAATAACTAGGTATTAGAAAAGCATGTATGTGTATATATATAAATATATATATTATACACACACACAGAGATAATAACCATGTCCACTTAATTATTTTTTAGTGAAATGCATATACCTAGGCTACTGTATACTGTCGCTACCATATGTAATGTAACCCCTATGATGCAATGAAGTGTAAGCTTCTTTAATTCTACCAACTTACTTTAGGGGAGACTCATGACTTATGTGATTTTGAAAAATTTAACTTTAATTTAACATCATTATAAATTATACCTATATTAATTTATATAAATATAATATAACATATACCATTAACATGGGTTTCAAACATGGGTATTGAGTATTTTACAATAGAATACTTAATACCCATGTTTGAAACCCATGTTAATGGTATATGTTATATTATATTTATATATATTAATATAGGTATAATTTATAATGATGTTAAATTAAAGTTAAATTTTTCAAAATCACATAAGTCATGAGTCTCCCCTAAAGTAAGTTGGTAGAATTAAAGAAGCTTACACTTCATTGCATCATAGGGGTTACATTACATATGGTAGCGACAGTATACAGTAGCCTAGGCCTATGCCATGCCAATTAATATTAGTATTAATTAGTCTAACTAGCAGTGGCGCAGCTAGGGGGGGTGCAGACCGCACCGGGTGACACCAATTGAAAAATTACCTATTAACAAAGCACACACTGCTCTGTCTATCCAATTTTCATAAAAGGATAACTGATTACACGTAAATTTTCCATACATGTAACAATCCAAATGCATGCTTTATTAAAAATTCAAGGTTGATGTGTCAGAATGACTCAATAACGATTGAAGTGTACGGTAACCTTCGTAAGTGACAGGAAGATTTATCTAAATTCTGATTAATAAAGCTTTCCATTGATATCAAGTATGATGTGGTCGGGCAATTCTAAGTACAGGAATCAGATCGGTACAAATTAAAAACATGTTTAAAAATGACTTTTTACCCATTTAAAGGGTTAACAAAATAATATTTTCCACAATGTTTTAATATCTTTTAATAATTAATTTAGATGTACTTAAATTTTATTTAATAGTTTATTAAACCAAATATATCTGCAGACTAAGTGTTGACCAACCTAGAGGCCTTAAGATTGTTTCTTCACAACCAGCGCTGTCACTTAGTGGAACATGCCATTGAAATGGCACTTTTAAAATCAGACCGATATGCAATTTCGGTGGAGAGAAGATTAGGTTATGAAGAAAATGGCAGGAGAACAATTAATAGATGCTGGAATCTCTCTGCGAGAAGAAACCAGTAAGGAGATGCTGGAGTGCATTGACAGCTTTCATTCTGAACCCCAGGTAAGATCATCAGCGATCAAGGAAGTATCAGATATGTCTGGGGCTGTTCAAACGATGAGTCTATTATCAGCAGGTAAAGAAGAGTTATTGGTATCCGTTCCAAAATTAACCTCTTTCTATGTTGATATATGATATATCATAAGATGAACTTTTAAAGGAAATACCAAGGCTTAAAAGACACCTAAAGGCAGCTGATATTGAGCTTCACAAAGTTATGGACTGGTCAGTATTTGATGTTTTGAAATTCATAGCTGAATGGGACTTCCTAGAATCTCTTCCAATACTTTCGCTAAGCCAAGCCTTCTATTGTTTCTTACGATCTGTATGTCTGTGGCTTCATGTGAGTAGAGCTTTTCAAAACTAAGGTTTATCAAGAACAATTTACGATCCAACATGGGACAGTTAAGGGTTTCTTTACTATCTATTGAAAGTGATGCCGTGAAGGATATTGATTTTGATCAAGTGCTTGACAGGTTTGCAGCATTAAAGTACAGGAAAGGAATATTTTAAATAAAGAAATTTAATGTAAAAATAGCTATAACTGAAACTATGGACTTGACTTATGATTTATGTTAACAAGAAGAAATCCATAGTGGAAGTGGGGCGGGGGGGGGGGTGTGACACCATGAGTTTACCTCACCAGGTGTCACCAACTAATTAAAATATTTAACCCCCTTCCCATACACACACATTACATTAGTCATTAGCCTTTTTAAATGTATTTTAACGTAACATTTCATTAGTCTACAGTACAGTTATTGAGACAAAAATTGACTGAAAAGGATCCAGGACAATTAATTATTACTTACCGCCATCATTTTATTACTATTAGCTTGTAATTGTAATGTAGGCTTCAATTTATTTTGCTAGGTGTTGTCAACAGCGGCGTTGTTTGTGCAGTTCGAATGACTTGAATGAGGCAAACTAGCCCGACTGTTGTTATCGGTTCACGTTAATTTAAGTACTGACAACTGACCTAGTAAAAGTTACAAATACAGTTCATCACGTAATATGTGATAAACAAATGTATTAGTATAGGCCTAAGCATAAAAAATATAACTTATATATAACACTACACTCCTAAACTGCCTGTGTTTGAAATTCTCAAGATAGTAATTACTGAACTGCGATCCCTCCACTGCTACTTGTACTACTGAGTTTGAGATGTTCCTCGAAATGTTGTGATTCTTTATATAGGTCAGCTTCGGCAAACTACGTGTACCACTCGGTAAGCAATACATTCAAACGAGCAATCAAGTTCTAAGAAAATCTATTTTTAGCTTTGACAAGTACTGGGGCAAACGGTTAATAGTGTCAATTCATTGTGATCTAATTGTAAAAAAAAAAA